CTTTGCTGACAGTGTATAACAGAGGTGTACCCGGGCAGACATAATTAATTGAGCTATAGCTGCCGGGATATCTGGAGCTGATTTAGGAGCCTTAGGGACAGCACAGCTGATCTGCCAGTCATCAAGCTAATCACATCCAGTGCTCCTTGTGACAAAGCTCTCTAGATACCTTCTGTTTATATCCATTTTTATGGCACTCTGTTAACTAGACTGCTCTAGTTACATTCAAGATATCAAACTATTTGAATTGGGTGACTGTCTGATTACCTCGTATTGCTTAGGTTTTGCGTTAGAGCCTTGTGCCTTTTGTTCCCCTATAATATCAACCTCTTACCTTACATTTGGACAAGTCAGCACCTTAGCGAATCTCTCCCCTTTTACCATTCTTTTCCGTTTTTTGGTTCAATAGAAACCCATTAATCTAAGGTCGTTCCAGACCAGATATCCTGATTGCTTATTTGAAAATGGATTAATATATAATATCGATTTGTAACTGAGAGATTTTATGCCATAACAGATTAATACCATTAGTACCATTCTGCCATTTGACGGATATGAGTGTTTCTGGGTAATACATTTTAGGCAAATAAATATTGCCTGTTGGTTTACCCCATTTTTTTTCTTTTCTAACGTTATTAGGGTTCATGCCCAGAGTAGGTGGGTACCACTCACAATGACCACCTCTAACTGGGATATCTCCCATACAGGGGTTATTAGATACTTCTCTGATGATCAATGATAATTGCCACTGAAATACGTACCGTAAGTAGTGAAAGAATTGAGATCTTTTAAAATTGAACTTCTTCAATTTCAGATTATGACTTTCGAACTCTGATAAGAGCTCTCCCTTTTATCCTCTGCCTGGTAGCATTTAATGTATTACTTTTCCTTACGAAGCATTGAAATGATAGTTTAAGGTTTTCAAGTATTGAATTTAATGAGAAAATGTCTCTTGTGGCTTTCTGACAAATATAAACAGTGTTGTTTCTTATCAGTACTGGTGTTTACACTTGTCAGACTGTAGAGACCGGGTCATCTAATATCAACTAAGCGCGAATGTATGGCTTGTGGAGGAGCTTGGAGGCCAGTCTCCTTTGTAGAGTCCTTTGTTATAAGGGTTATTACTGTAGTACAGTTTATAGTTGTGTTCTAGGTTTGTGGAGTTTCCTTGTAATAACAATTCGATCAGCACACTCTGCCACTTTGATTGAGTTCACGTAATGTTCACGTAATGTCATTATTGCATGTTGTTGTCCCCGCTTTTCATTGACATTTCCATTGTGATGCATTCGAACTGCTTGGTAAAATAATAAAAAAAACAAAAAACAAAATGTTTTTGACAAAACAGGCAGAGAGAGCACTGCATCGACATCCACCTGAGACCTCTGTAGGCTGATAAGTCTACTGCTGATCATACATGATCAAAGGCTAGTATTTGTAGAACCAGTAGGGTTCAAAGCCTTAAAGAAATTCTTCCTGTTTATTAGGATCTCTAGATGTCTATCTTATATGATATCATTTAAAGGGACAGTATTAAACCTCTGTCCTATAGGATGTCATTTAAAGGGACAGTATAGTCTCCAGAACAACTACAGTTTAACATAGTTGTTCTTGTGAGTATAGCATGTTCCTGCAGTCTTTTTGCTGTAAACACTGCCTTTTTAGAGAAAAGACAGTGTTTAGATTGCTGCCTAGGGACACCTCCAGTGGCAGTCAGTCAGGCAGTAACTAGGCGTGCTTCGTGAGTGTAGCACTGATGTTCAGCGTCTCCACATTTTGCAAGAAGACACTGAACGCTCTCCATAGAGTTGCATATGAGGAGATGCTGATTGGCTCAGTACGGCGTGTAGCCATGCGTAGGCATTACCCTCCCAATGCTTTCCTCTGGAAAAACATTGGATTGGCTGAGATAGTCACTTATGATAATCTCAGTCAAGGGGCGGAGCCAGCGCCAGCAGACCCTTGTGGCACTGAAATAATGGTGAGTTTTCGTTATCTTTAAGGCAAGGGGTGGCCCAGAGCCTAAAATGGTATTTTAACATGATAGAGTCAGGAATATTTATTTGTATTCCTGACCCTATAGTGTTCCTTTAAAGGGACTCTCCAGTGCCAGGAAAACAATCCGTTTTCCTGGCACTGCAGGTCCCCTCTCCCTCCCACCCCCCATCCCCGGTCAAAACCCCTTCAGTGACTTACCAGAGGCAGCAACAATGTCCCACGTCGCTGCTTCTTGGTCCTCCGCGGCACCTCCCCTTCATCACGTCAGCCGGTGGGGCAATGCCGCGCACACGCATTAGACATCCCCATAGGAAAGCATTGAAAATACTTTTCACTGCTTTCCTATAGGGATTTTAGCGACGCAGGAGGTCCTCACATAGCATGAGGACGTCCAGCGACGCTCTAGCATAGAAAACCTGTGCTATGAATCAGGAAGTGCCCTCTAGTGACTGTCTAGTAGACAGCCACTAGAGGTGGAGTTAACCCTGCAAGGTAAATATTGCAGTTTAAACACTCCAATGGGCAGAAGTGGTCTGGGTGCCTGGAGTGTCCCTTTAATAAAATATTCTAATTTTGAGTATTTTCTTTCCAACAGATGGTTCCATGAACAGAAATGAAACCAGTGAATCTTACACTGCAGTTTTTTTTCCGGATTGTATAACAGAAGATAATATAATTACAGTTAATCAACAAATAAACTGTGTGTCAGTCGGTACACCAAGCAGTAAATCTTTGAGTCCCGAAACCACAGAATCCAAGAAAGTAAATCTCCAAGACATTAATACGCCCATAGAACATATACAGACTGAAGATCCATCTACTCATATTAAGGAGGAATCAGACTCGTATGAGGAAGGAAATTTCCCAGACACAGACCTTTATACACCCACAGAAGATGCACAGATAGAATATCCATCTACTCATATTAAGGAGGAATCGGTCTCATGGGAAGAACAAAATCTTGTTGAAGCTTCAATTTGTACAAACCAGGGAGATCTACAAAATAACTATACATCAAAGTGTGAATCCGCATCAAATGAAAAACAAATTCTTATAAACACTGATATTAATTCAGGCACAGATCATACACAGACAGAATATCTACCTGATCATATTAAGGAAGCCAGTACTCTCACGATCACCAAGGTCTATACACCCACAGGAGATAAACAGAGGGCCTATACAGCAAATTATGAATCTGCGTCACAGAAATACGTAAATCTCGGAGACGCTGAAATGTATACACCTGCAGACCATCCGCAAACCGAGTATCCATCTGCACATATTAAAGAGGTATCTGCTTCATATGAAAATGGAGATCTCACCATCTTGGACCTTCTTACCCGCACATGTCATATTGGAATACAAAACAAAGGGAATAGTAACTGCTTTGATAGTGCTAAGGTTTCATCTACCAATTCAGCACTTGTTAAATATCAGATCGTCAACAAAGGAAATAAAATGACCAGTGCTGATTACTTTGGACATGAGTATTTTAAGCAAAAGTCACATTTTATAAGATGTAGGAGAACTCTCAAAGGAGAGAAGGCAATTTCTTGTTCTGAATGTGGGAAATGTTTTGCTCAAATGTCAAATCTTAAGAAACATCAGAGGATTCACACGGGAGAGAAACCATTTTCATGTTCACAATGTGGAAAATGTTTCACTCAAATGACAAATCTTAAGACTCATCAGAGGATTCACACAGGAGAGAAACCATTTTCATGTTCGGAGTGTAGGAAATGTTTCACTGATCATTCAACTCTAAAGAATCACCAGAAGATTCACACAGGAGAGAAACCATTTTCTTGTTCTGAATGTGGGAAATGTTTCAGTCGGAGGTCAGGTCTTCATTCACATAAGGAGATTCACAGAAGAATTCATTCTATTGCTTAGATCATAGAAAAACCTGTTTTTTAAACTAATGGCTTTTTAAACAACATAGAATGTGTAAAACTAATCTTATTGATTTTTTTGATTGGGTAACTAAAATTATAGATCAGTGTGGTGCAGTAGACATTGCTTACCTAGAGTTCAGTAGGGCTTTTGACATTATTGCACATAGAAGGCTTATCAATAAACTGCAATCTTTAAATTTGGATTCCAATATTGTTGAATGGGTAAAGCAGTGGCTGAGTGACAGGCAACAGAGGGTTGTAGTCAATGTTATATTCGAAGCTTGGACTTGTCACCAGTGGGGTACCTCAGGGATCTGTACTTGGACCCATTTTCTTTAATATTTTTATTAGTGATCTTGCAGAAGGTCTTCATGGTAAGGTATGTCTTTTTGCTGATGATACTAAGATATGTAACAGGGTTGATGTTCCAGGAGGGATAAGCCAAATGGCAAATAATTTAGGTAAACTAGAAAAATGGTCAGAATTGTGGCAACTGACATTTAATGTGGATAAGTGCAAGATAATGCATCTTGGACGTAAAAACCCAAGGGCAGAGTACAGAATATTTGATAGAGTCTAACCTCAACATCTGAGGAAAGGGATTTAGGGGTGATTATTTCTGATGACTTAAAGGTAGGCAGACAATGTAATAGAGCAGCAGGAAATGCTAGCAGAATGCTTGGTTGTATAGGGAGAGGTATTAGCAGTAGAAAGAGGGAAGTGCTCATGCCATTGTACAGAACACTGGTGAGACCTCACTTGGAGTATTGTACACAGTACTGGAGACCGTATCTTCAGAAGGATATTGATACCTTAGAGAGGGTTCAGAGAAGGGCTACTAAACTGGTTCATGGATTGCGGGATAAAACTTACCAGGAAAGGTTAAAGGATCTTAACATGTATAGCTTGGAGGAAAGACGAGACAGGGGGGATATGATAGAAACATTTAAATATATAAAGGGAATCAACACAGTAAAGGAGGAGACTATATTTAAAAGAAGAAAAACTACCACAACAAGAGGACATAGTCTTAAATTAGAAGGACAAAGGTTTAAAAATAATATCAGGAAGTATTACTTTACTGAGAGGGTAGTGGATGCATGGAATAGCCTTCCAGCTGAAGTGGTAGAGGTTAACACAGTAAAGGAGTTTAAGCATGCGTGGGATAGGCATAAGGCTATCCTAACTATAAGATAAGGCCAGGGACTAATGAAAGTATTTAGAAAATTGGGCAGACTAGATGGTCCGAATGGTTCTTATCTGCCGTCACATTCTATGTTCTATCTATGTTTCTAGAATAATACTTTAATTTCTCTGTGGCGAAACCAACCTCGCCACTGTACACTGGAGAAGCCTGGTTGCTCGCCTGCTCCCTTTAGACTATGGCCCTGCATTTTAAACTTTTATTCGTGCCTTTCTGCGGACTGTTAAAGCCATGCTACCCCAGATAGCTATGCCATGGAGCCCAGCCGTATACTGAAAGACTGTATGAAAGACTTTGGCTCCATGGCGATTGAACTGTATTTATGTGATCTGAGCGCCATTTGGTAGTAATGTGCACTCAGATCTAAGCTATCTGGGGATATGTAGAATGTCTATGTTTTATGGAATAAATGTAACTGTATGTAATTTTATGTCTTTTATTGTCCTTTGTCTGCCATGTGGTTAATGGAGTTTTGCCTCTGTCCTTGGGGATAATTTGATTACTTCCCACTTATCTCCAGGACAGAGAGGAGGGATTGTGATGTAGTTGTGGGTGTGTTTTATGGTTCTCCTGTAAACGATTGGTTGTACTGTGTCCCACCCTGTGGGATGTCCCCTTGCATGGGGACGTGCATAAAAGCCAGTGTGTGGCCATTACAGAGAGATTCTGCTTAACCCTCAAAACGAAGTGTCGTCTCGTTATTGGGGGAATTGGATTGTATGCTGACTGCCAGGAGTGTAACCCTGTCGTATGGTTTTCCTGTTCGGATATTTCCAGTGTTCATGTGTTTCCAGTTCAGGAGATCGGTGCTTACAGTAGCTGTCGGTGTTGCTGAGAAAGGCGGAATATCGCCTAAACGGTTTTTAACCTCTGGTGAGCAAAACGGTCCGTTACATTCTCTTTAGGCCGAGTAAGCCTGTTGTCAGTTACAAACTTCATTTGAGAAATAAGTAAACATCATTTTTTTTTTTTTTTTTTTATCAAACCAGTTCTCGCCAAAAAGGAAGAAAATAAAGTATCAATCAAATCTGAGATCACATAAAAGATGTATAAATTAAGAATATACTCCTATTGCAATACTAAAAATATAATGTCTATTACAAGTACACTATATTGTCAATACACCCAAGCTTGTGAACCTGTAGGTGATATTCTACCTTGAAATAAGTAGTAACATGTAGATATACACTTTTAAATTCATCTTAATTTTTGAATTTTTAGAGGAAATGTTGCAGAAATTGTAATTTATATTCTGTAATTTTTTTTAGAAGTTTGTGAATTGCATTATATTTGTAAATTATTGATTTAATTTGTATTATTTATATATTAAAGGACCACTCTAGGCACCCAGACCACTTCAGCTTAACAAGGTGGTCTGGGTGCCAGGTCCAGCTAGGGTTAACCCATTTTTTAATAAACATAGCAGTTTCAGAGAAGCTGCTATGTTTATTAATGGGTTAAGCCTTCCCCTATTTCCTCTAGCGGCTGTCTCATTGACAGCCACTAGAGGTGCTTTTCACAGTGAGAGCACGCCAGCGTCCATAGGAAAGCATTATGAATGCTTTCCTATGTGACTGGCTGAATGCGCGCGCAGCTCTGAAAACTACAGAGGCATAAATCCGATCATCTTGAGAAACATGTATGCATGTTTAGTTAAAAAAACTAAGCGAAAACAACGAAGAGAAAAGAAAATGAAAAGAAAAGTGGTCACAAAGTTGATAAGGGGATGGTGATTGATTGAAAGTTGGGCATTTTAAAATAATGTTTATACTAGTTACTTATTGGTTTATTCCTTAAATGGTTACTCCAATCTCCATGACCACGTCCGCTTTTGGAAGTGGTGATGGAGAAACAATCTGTATGTGTAACGTTTTTGTTTTAAGCTCTGCCTCACAGAGAAATCGGTGATTTTGTTTCGGGGAGCAGTTACACTCCAGCACTCGTGACTAAGTCAGCCCATATCTCTGTTTCAGACTGACTAATGTGAGTCCTGTGCATAAATTATGTCCATTGTCTGCTGCGCTGCGCACGGGCAACAGACCTAATCAACTTCTTCCCTTGCAGATAGTGCTTTTAATGCGCCTTGATATATCTTTTCAGAAATTGTGAAGAGAGGCTGTGTGACTGACAGCCAGGGAGGTGTGGCTAGGGCTTCAGAAATTAAGTCCTTTATCTCCTAATTGGCAGAGAATTGAGCTTGTTCAGTGCACGTAAACCACTTCAAACAAGCTAAAGTGTTTTGGTGCTTAAAATTACCCTTTAGACGGACACTGTAGTCACAGCTTAATATAATGGTTCTGGTGTTTATAGCCTGACCCTGCAATCTCGGCAATGTAAACGCTGCCTTTTCATTGCTGTCTCGTAACACCTCTAGTGGCTGCCTCCAGAGATGTTTCCTGGGTTAGTACCTGCAAACATCGCTCTTCAGGGAGGCAATGCATCTCTACGAGATGATAATGATTGGTTGACTGACCAGCTTCCCAATGGAGGTGGGGCCGGACACTGCGAGACCAGCGAAGCACAGAATATGAGGAAGCTTAGTTTATTGAGCCCCCCTGCAAGGGATACAATTACATGTCTAAGGAGTTAGAAGCATCCTATAGCATTTGGAATACATGCTTTTATTCCTAACGCTATGGTGCTCCTTTAAGAATATTTGCTAAACTTCAGTGTTTTTAGATTACTTTATTGCACTTCAAAAAAGGCATGTTTAGTGTAAACGTTTTGGGTCATGTAAATGTCATTGTCACCTTTTAATGCACACCATCCATTCTCCTGCCACTTATAGCGGAGTTCCATTGCTGCTGCCATAATAACTTTAATTTCTTATTAACCATCCAAATGTGGATAACAGAGAGAGACTGTGCACACCTGGCTTACTCCTCTCACTTACAGCATATCATGGCATCTGACAACCGTGCAAAGACTCCTTAGTGTCTACAATAAGCCTTTCATGCTAGAAGTAGGATAAGATAAATACATTTTTCATTGCTGCTACTATTGTCATTGCACCATTAGGACAGCCAACTTTAAACTCCCTTTGGCTGGAAGCACCTGCAGGCACAGAAACCGTGCAGATAACTGAGCTGTGTGTGCGCGCACATCCTCATGTCATGAACATGTATTGTGCTTCTCACAAATGTTCTCAGATGTTCAGATTACACCTGGTCCTGGCAGATATGTGGTGCATCGGATTGAAGAGGACATAGAATGTGACGGCACATAAGAACCATTTGGCCCATCTAGTCTGCCCAATTTTCTAAATACTTTAATTAGTCCCTGGCCTTATCTTATAGTTAGGATAGCCTTATGCCTATCCTACGCATGCTTAAACTCCTTTACTGTGTTAACCTCTACCACTTCAGATGGAAGGCTATTCCATGCATCCACTACCCTCTCAGTAAAGTTCTGCAGGAATGGCAATGTTTACATTGTATGGTCAACATGCCGCTTCCACCTCAATAAATCGAGTTAAACTCGGCTGTTCAATCAGATGGTCTCAGAGGCTATTTGACTGGTGGCAGTGCACTGTGTTTTGCTGCGCATGCGCAATAGTCTCCCAATGTTTCTAAAAGAGGCAGAGTAACAACCAGGAGACCGGTTACTGTGAGTGGCTGAAAGGTAAGTAAATCTCGCCTTTCAAACGCTCACAGGCGTGGAGGGGGGCCTAAATAGATAGCTTAAACCTATAGCATTAGGAATATATATTTATATTCCTAATTCTACAGCAGTTAGTCTATAATATATGTAACCTTTTATTTGCAGTTATAAACAAATATAATATTAGGGCATGCATCATTTATAGGCTTTTAAAATGCGTGTCTTCCACTTATTATTCTGAACACAGAGTATCTGGACAGCCCAAGAGCTATACATTGTTTTACCGCTGAATGTAGACAGGTAAGTGATGGGGAATGATTTTAAGGGCCAGAATTAGATTCCCTTCGATGTGGTTCTTTCTTTGCTTCATCCTTACATGAAGAACTTTCTAAAATCCATAGAGGAACTTGTATCAAAACTGAGAAAAGCCATTGTCTTACGTTTGGTCTTTCAGCTGTTTAGTTGATAGCTCACTAATTTGGTTACCTTATCTGGGATTTCCATATTAAATTATGGCACTGTTTAGCAGATAGCTCCCTTATTTGGTATCCTAAAATATAGCAATCTCACACAAGGATGCCAATTTTGGGAGTGAGCATTGGGATTTCAGAGGCATGATCTATACACCAAAACTACTTCATCATGCCAGTTGTTTTGGTGACTATAGTGTCCCTTTAAAGATTAAAATTAAGAAGAAAAAAAGCCCTTTTGTGTATTTTGATCTTTGTTATGTTTAGTAGCTCCCTAATTTGGGACCGTTATGTTGGATTACAGATTTTAAGGATACCAAATTAGAATGCTACCTGCTAAACGGCACTCACGTTTGGTATCCTTTGAAATAATGTAAAAAAAAAAAAGGCATCTGAATTTCCTTTCAGTACTGATTAATTTTTTTTGCCAAATTTATTTTCGTTCTGAATTGACAAGTTTTGAATTCTTGATCTCTCTCCCTGCACGTTCTGTCCTCAGTGTCAGGCAACCCGGTGCGCATCCAGGAAAGGGACCGGTCTACCCAATAGTGTGAGTCAGTGATGCAGATTGCATCACTCTCCCATTTTCTTATCGCTCCTCCCACCAGCATCCCTCTTCACAGGGTTTCTATAATTGAGGGGTATGATATGCATGCACACATAGTTACACATACATGCACACTGTTATACCTATGCAGACTCGCATACTCACAGATACACACACCGATATATAAACAAACACACACACACATTATTATACACATATACAGTCATACACTCACACATACAAACACTGATATATAGACCAACACACACATATATACATGTAACGGATCACCTGGCACCCGGACTGGGTACCTCCGTTGAAGGATGCTGCTAGCGCTTCCTGAGGACTCCAAGCACTGCAGCAGACACCACAACCACCGAACCGGAGAAGCATATGAATGCTCTCAAGCATATGAATACAATCAGCTTACACTCCTGGCAATCAGCATACAATCCAATTCCCCCAATAACAAAACGAGACGACACTTCGTTTTGAGGTCAAGCAGCACTGACTGTACTGGCACATACAGCCTCTTTTATTCACAATCCACAAACATAGTACTACCCACAGGGTTTTGAAATACAACCAATCAATCCATACAATACACACAGACACTCCCACACAAAATCCTCCCCTCTGCCTGTGATATGATTACAGAACACAATGGTTAATATAATTATCACAGGCAGAGAAATACAGTATTATAAAACATATCACAGGGACCCCAAAGCATGCAATAACCCCATAAAAAATATATCCTCGGAACCGGGGATCTGGGTGAACCACATATCCAAAATTCACCCAGATCCGTTCAGTAGTTTGGAAGATACAGTTTAACCCCTTAAGGACCAAACTTCTGGAATAAAAGGGAATCATGACATGTCACACATGTCATGTGTCCTTAAGGGGTTAATGCAGATTCCGCAGAACATATACAGGCTATATGAAAAATAATTACTGTATAATGTGTCCCCTGTTGTATGGTTTAAAACTACTGCATGATGTCTTTGTGCACCAAATACCGGCGAGATGGCACCGTGTAGAAAAGTCCAAACAGTGTCTGTGAGTTAAAATGGCCGCCATCCATTGTTCTCACCATGTGCTTTATCCATTGTTCTCACCATGTGCCTCTGATACATGAAATGGTGGCCACCCAGTAACTCCACAGTATGTCCCCAGATGGTTCTTAAAGGGCCAGCAGCAGCATAATAAAAATCGATAACGCCCAAATCAGTTCCTAGAAGGGCAATACATCTCAGGGACATAGTCGCAGGGCAGGAGGCTGGCAAACAGTCTTTTCCAATGCCCAGTGGCGAGGCTGGTTCCGCTACAATACAGTCATACACTCACATATACAAACACTGATATATAGACCAACACACAAATTATTACACACATATATACACACACACATTTTTACACATATATACAGTCATACACTCACACATACACACACACATTATGCCATACACTCACACATACACGCACATTATTACACACATATATACAGTCATACACTCACAAATACACACACATATATACTGTCATACACTCACACATACACACAGATTATTACACACATATATACACACACACATTTTTACACATATATACAGTCATACACTCACAGATGCACACACACATTATGCCATACACTCACACATACACACACATTATTACACACATATATACAGTCATACACTCACACATACACACACACACATTATGCCATATGTAGCGGAGCTGCAATATTAAATCCCAAGATCTCCGCTGGTATAGAAGGTAATCCAAAGTAAAGCGCTGGAAAAGAAGGCAATATCCCAAATCCCCCAGTAACCGGACGAGACACAGTTCAGGGAGTCAACTGAGGTTTTTATTCATGGCTGTTAGCCTATGCATGCTCTCTATTCTAAAACACACAAATACAGTTTTACACCAGGTTATCACAGCTATTTCAGACAACCTTTAAATGTTCTGCAATATGACCTAAAGTGGCTATGTTTGCCACAGGTGCCTTACAACTTATGCTGCTGGAACAATTCTTTAACCACACTGCAGATGATATCAAAGATTGGGTAAAGGACAGGAAACCTAAAACAGTGGAGGAAGCCGACAGACTAGTGGATGAATACCAAGACAACAGGAGGAAGGAACGGGGGGGAGCAGACCCACGTTTACGCCCAACTACCCGGCTCCAGCACCAACTGCCACCCCTAGAGCCTCCATAAGCAACCCACCACAAGGCCCAGCAGTAACACCTCGACTCCCTGCAGTGTGTCATTACTGTAAGTAACCAGGACATTAAAAGAACCAGTGTCCTCATTTGAACCGAGGAAGCTGGGAAAGGCAACCACCGCAACAACCCAGGGCAGCCTGCCCATTGTGTTCAACAGGAAAGTTTTACCAGCGCACCTAACCAAGAAGAGCAGTGGAGTGTGTTACATGAGGTCAATCCAGTGCAAGCTGGGGGCGACAACTGGGACCACCACCACCAATGGATTACAGTGAATGGCGTGGGGGCCCGAGCTCTGAGAGACTCTGGGGCCACTCTAAGGGTGGCTGGGGGTGCCATACACAAGCTACCTACAGCCTACGTCCTTATCAACTGGGGTTCTGGGTCCAAACAGTTGGAGGTCAGCATTATGCAGGAACTGCCAGCCGAGGTCTTATTGGGAAATGACGTCGGCTGTTTAACCTCTCAACTAACACTGGACACTACTTCGGAAGCCTGATTACCACCCGAGCCCAAGCCAGACTGGAAGCACCGCTGCACAACCAGATAGGAGTTGACATACCCCCTTTGCCCGATCCCCCTACCACCTTCTGGGATACACCACAGGGGTTTGAACAAGAACAGTGGACAGACCCCACACTAGAAGGGTATAGAAAGCCCGTAGAGGTCACTAAGAGGGACACCCCCCACGAAAAGTTTTAATGGTATAAGGGATTGTTGTACCGAGTGACAGGAGGGGTGGGACGCGGGGCCACGCAAGTCACTAAAAGACAACTGGTAGTACCCCGTAAGTTTCGAGCTGAGTTATTAAAACTCAGTCATGATATGGCCCTGAGACCTGCCAAGAAGGACAAGCTGCAGGCTGCCTGGCAGGGACCCTTTAAGGTGGTAGAGCGCCTAAGTGATACCACCTATATTGTGAGCAAATGTTCAGATGAAAGGCTGACCAAAGCCTTTCATGTAAATATGCTCAAGCCCTATTTCGAAAGGATGGAAGAGGTGGGTGCCGTATGTGCCCCCTCGTCAGAAGATAGTGAGGGACTGCCCCTTCACGATCTATTAGACACCTCCCTGTGTACTATTGACCAAGTAATCTTGGGTCAGAACCTCACCCCCTCAGAGAAGGGCGAGGCTTCCCAACTGCTTCAGGAATACCTAGGAATGTTTTCAGCCATACCAGGCTATCCCTCCGCTGCGGTACATCATGTAGAAACCCAGGAGGAAACGCCGTTATGACAGCAACCCTATCGTATCCCTGAGGCAGTACGGGAAAATATGCTCACAGAAATAAGGGATATGCTTCAGTTATGGGTTATAGAACCCTCCCAGAGTCCTTGGGCTTCCCCGGTAGTGCTTGTACCGAAGCGTGACGGCACCACGCGCCTCTGTGTAGACTATCGGAGACTCGACGATCACACCATAACTGATGCCTACCCCATGCCCAGAATAGATGAGCTATTAGACCGCATGGCTGGGGGGAATTACTTGACCACACTGGATTTGTGCAAAGTGTATTGGCAGATCCCTTTGGAGCTTGCGGCCATCCCAAAGTCAGCATTCGTCACTCCATTTGGGCTATACCAATTCAGGGTTATGCCCTTTGGGATGAAGAATGCCCCGGCTACCTTTCAGAGGATGGCCGATAGGCTCTTAGAGGGGTTCCAGGACATTGCGTGCGCGTATCTAGACGATATTGCCATCTAATGCCGCACATGGGGGGACCACCGGGGCCACTTGTCCAGGGTGCTCAAGCGAATTCGTTTAGCCGGTCTCACATTGAAACCTGACAAATGCCACATAGGCATGGCCGAGGTACAGTATCTCTGCCACCTGGTAGGTTCCGGTAGACAGTGTCAAGAACCCGCTAAGGTAGAAGCCATAGCTAATTAACCAAAACCCAGGTGTTAGCCTTTCTAGGGACGGCCGGCTACTACCGAAAATTTGTCCCAGAGTATAGCGCCCTGGCCAAACCCCTCACCGACCTTAATAAAATGTCCTTTGTAGCAGAGAGCTGATTTCCCACAGCTAAATTCGACCAATATATTAATAGGATGCAGGAACAAGTAGTAAAACCAAGAGAATATCCAGCACAATCAGCAATACAATACAATAATATCCCATCACCTTTCCCAATCACTGGACAACACACAGTATCAGGAGTAGAACTAACTTTTAATGGCAACATTCCTGCTTTTATGAGATTCTCCCATGCAAGGGAGGGATTCACCACAATTATTACAGTAACCAATCCCATCGACGTTACCTCCCACACATCTCCTCCCCTTAGATTAGCACTTAACACAATTATACAAGGCATACTTTTCCCCACTTTTCAGATGTACCCCAAATATGTAGCCCTGATCTGGGTG